AGAAGAGAAGGCTCTGGGGAGACCTCATTGCAGCCTTGCAGTACTTGAAAGGAGCCTATAAACAGGAGGGGGAACGCCTGTTTGCAGGGGTTGATAGTGACAGGACGAGGGGGAATGGTTTTAAACTAAGAGAGGGGAGATTTAGGTTGGATATTAGGTGGAAGTTTTTCACTCAGAGGGTGGTGAGGCACTGGAACAGGTTGCCCAGAGAAGCTGTGGATGCCCCATCCCTGGAGGCATTCAAGGCCAGGCTGGATGGGGCCCTGGGCAGCCTGCTCTAGTGGTTGGCAACCCTGCCCACAGCAGGGGGGTTGGAACTAGATGATCTTTAAGGTGCTTTTCAATGCAGGCCATTCTATGATTCTATGAAATACCTTCTCTGGCAAATCATTTAGCCACTATTTTCTAGGCATAGAAGATAAAAACAGGATATTCCTTTAAAAAGGTTAAAATGCTCTAGAAAATAATTTAGCAGTGTTTGAGTTGAGGATTAAGACAGAAAGAATGACAATTCAAAACAAAGACCAGATCTGACTGTTTATGAGGACACTGGTGTTCAACAGGTTGTCTATGGATTTTTGGACATTTAGTCTTGGAAAAGAAACAAATGTGTAAAAATACTGGTACACCCTTTTCATTGGGAAAAGGTATTTCTTTTAGTGTATTAAATTTTTCTGATTGTCCGGGTACTAATTGTGAGTGATCATCTTTAACCATATTTTTTTATAGTATTGCATCCTGTAGTGTTATGGGCTGACTGTAGTTGACTCCTATACTTAATAGGTTGGAGGAATATTTCTGTTCCACAAGTTTCTATGTATGAGTGAGAGCCTGCCTTTTATCAGTGGTCAGAGTGCTCTGTGTTTCCCTTAAAATAATTCAGAAATTCTTTAAAATTATTTTCTCCTGGTTTTGAGGGTGAGCTTCCATATTCACACATAGGGAAAACTAATACAATTTTTTACCATGAATTGCAGGTTAATTGCTTTTTAAATGACAGCAGATGAAAATTACCATGGTTTTATAACTTGGTAGAAACATGATTGAGCCACCGGTACAACAGGGTGGTACAGCAGCAGGTGCTCTCCAGTCTATCAAATAAGGTATTTCCAGCAACACGAGAAGTGTTAAGTTTCACTGCACACAGACTTGTGAGATTTCTTCTACACCTTTCTTCCATGTGTTCCTGATCACCCAAGAAAGAGTATTTCTAACTGAAGCAGTTGCAGGGAGGGCTACACAATGATGCCAGGAATGACAAGTCTATTTACAAGAGGATTTGAAGTTGTCTTGATGAATAAAATGAGGGCTGAGATCATACAAAATTATTTTCCACAAAAACAGGGGAGTTGGGCCTAGCAGCCCAACTGGAGAGCCTGTTGCGTTAGGACGAGGGCTAACGGTTTTAAAATAAGAGGGCAGGTTCAGATTAGATATAAGGAAGAAATTTTTTAAGGTGAGGGTGGTGAAACACTGGAACAGATTGCCCAGAGAGGTGGTAGGTGCCCCATCATGGAAACATTCAATGTCAAGTTGGGCAAGGCTCTGAGCAACCTGATCTAGTTGAAGATGTCATTGCAGGGGGGTTGGACTAGATGACCTTTAAAGGTCCCTTCCAGCCCAAATGTCATGGTTTTAACGCAGCCAGTGAGAAACACCACACAGCCGCTTGCTTACCTGCCCCTGTCCCTGGGGAATGGGTGAGAGAATTGAAGGGATAAAGGAAAAGGAGACTTGTGCGTTGAGATAAGAACAAAGTAATAATTGAAATAAGATAAATTGGAAGTGATGATGAAGATAATAGTAATAATATACAAATGAGTGATACATAGTGCAACTGCTTACCACCTGCTGACCAAGTCCCAGCTCCTTTCTGGCTAATGATCCCAGCACAGAGAGAGTCCCAAAATGTCAATCCCAGAAGAGAGAGAACGCTTCCCAGCAGACACTTCTAATATAGTGAGTGTGGTGTGGGATGATGTAGAATATACCATTGGCCAGTTTGGGCCTCAATCCTAAATCTAAGCTCAAAGCCTAAACCAGTAACTGTGGGTCCATTACTCTGGCTGTGCACATTCCTAGCTTCTTGCATACCTGTGCCCTAGGAAATCACAGGAATTTGAAAAGTCCTTGACAACAACTGAAAACATCAGTATGTTATCCGTCTTCCTCTCAGGACAAATCTGAAACATAGCTTCATACTAGCTACTACGAAAAAAATTAACTCTATCCCAGATGAAACCAGGGCACCAAACTATTCTATGATTCTATGAAAAATACTAATGGGAATAAATATTAGTCAAGAGCAATGTGTCTTGCTGTTCAGTACTGATGCAAGAACAAATGGTATTATGTGGTGGTGAATACATTGGAAATATGGAAGAAGTTTTCTGGTAGTTCAGAGGGAGTATCTGGAACAGACTTGCAGTGGGAGTAACAAACATAGAATTTTGTGTAAGCTTTTTGTTTTGTTTTTGTTTTTACAAAACCAAAATAAGAACAACAATAACACCATAGAAAATTATTTTAAGAACTCAGTTTATGCAGGCAGTCAATTTTAGATTTGTCTGAAAGCATTCCATGGTTGTATTTGATGGCCCTCACTCTTGTATTCCATGTTTGGCTATTTTTTGTTAACTGTGTCATCTGTCCATTTAATATGTGTGTTCATAGTTCTTGTCAGAGGCTTTCTGTTTTAACCTGTTATATCTTTATTACAAATATGTGGGTTTACAGATGATATATTTCTGCCTTAGAACTGTTGAGAAGCCTAAGTTCCTGCTTAAGTTCTTTACTTGGTATGAATTAGACAACAAAGACCGTAAATGCTGTTACTTGAATTAGGGCCAGAGAGATTAAATAATTTCCTTGAGTGAATGCAGGAAGTTGTGGCATAGCAGGAAATTAAACTTGGATCTCCTCAATTCTAGTTCTTTGTCGAACTGCAAAATGTTTCTTTCCTCTGACATTCTCACATTAAAGTTCTTAGTGTTTCTTTCACCATGTTGATCAGGTTGAGACCTACCAAGGATGCAGTAAATTACTAGTACAAATTAGATAGCAACTTGTAACGTCACGAATTGAACCTATTTAATATCTCACATCAAGCTTTAACATAAGTGATTGAAAGGTCTCAATTTTTCTTTTTCATGAGGGGCTGTTATGTAGCTAGGATATCTGCGTGAGAACCATACAACAATATTAATTTCCCATTGCTGTTGCACCTGAAAACTGAATATAGTGCTGTTTTACCCCTAGAACAAACCAGGTAGCTGTCAGCATCTGTAAAGTTTGCTTGTATGGCTAAGCTTTGGTTGTCAGACAAGTCCTTTAGCATTGCAACTGAATGAAATACTGAACTGCTGTAACTTGATTAGGTGATACTTTTGAAGATGACCCATTTATATTTCTATGCAGTCTTTAAATTTGGGAACATCTTTTTTAAAGAAAAAAATATATGTTAGTTTGAGTGAATGTCACTCAAAGAGTGCTGAGAAAGCAAAAGTTCTTAGGTGTGGTAGAAGTTTGAATCACATTTGCTTAATTTGAAAAAAGAAAAATCCCACACAAAAAAAAAAAAAAATCCATCACATATTGTTGCTGTGGAATATTTTTTACAATGAGAAGATCCTTTGAAAATGCCAAAACCCAGGATACCCTGCCTGACCAGTGAATATTATCCCTCTGCATATGTATTTTTCTGCATATAAGAGAAACTGAAGGGTTCAAGAGAATCAGTTCTTTTGTCTTGGAAACTAGCCTCTAATTCACTACACATACGCCATCATTATGTCATCTACTGTCCTGGTCTACAATTAGTAAGTTTATATGGCAGCAGAGTAATAGAACGGCAAAACAAGACATTTCGGTGTCACACTAGACTGAAAAATAGAAATTATACAGTAGTGATTGTAAGATTTGTGATATTCACTTAAGACTTACTGAACATTTCAGGCTAATTGTTGATACACAAAAAATGCGTTCAGTAAGTATACGATATAGTAGGAGAAATGTTTAAAACAGATGTTACAAGAATTGATTCACAGGTCTTCTTCTATCAGTCTTATATGGAAAGAAGCGTAATATACAGAACTGTTTCCTTTGTGTTTAACTGAGCTGTGAAATCCCTGTCAATGGATAGTGATGCAGGTACTAAAAGCATACATGCTAAAAAGAAAGGGATAGGACAAATCTATGAAATAAAATCCAGTAAGTCGATTTTGTGTAAAAGGCAGCACTGTGGCTTAAGCTGTGCTGCAAGCTGGGCTAAGAGGCTGGTGAAACTTTTGGGGGAGGTATCACTGCACTGCCTACTATGTTTTGTCATCCTGGATATTTGCAGGTAACTTTTGTCTGATCAAACAGGATATTGAGCAAGATGAGTCTTTGGTTTAATTCAGTACAGATAGCTTTCTGGTTTAGTGTAGTTATATTTAAAACTGTGATAAATAAAACAGGGGAAACCCATTTCTGGCTAATTACAGATACAGGCTATGAATTACAGATACAGTTTTACACCTACATACTAGCAAATGTTTTTTAAAATGTGTAGTTTGCTAGGTCGTGTATTTCTGCTTGGTAAACAACCCTTTTTAATGATTGAATGACTGTAATACAGAAACAGGACCACATTTCATCAGAATGGTAAGGTAGGTAGATCACAAATCTTCAGTAAAATTTAGAATTACTTTCATTTGTTATCTAGGAGAAGCTGTCAGAGATTTTTTTTTTTTTTGAGCAGGTAGAGAACTTGGATGTGGCCTTAAGTCTTCTGCATGCAGGTTGTAGAGCTGCAGGGCTTTGAATACCCTCCAAAGTGAGGCTGCAGATAAGATTCCCTTGCCTGTTGGTATTTTTTAAATATGGTCTGAATGGCTACCTATATTGAGACATTAAATCTTGTTTGGCTGAATGAAAGAGGATGATTTGAGTTTACTTTGGTTGTGGCTTGTGTCAGTTTTCTATGTGAGACATATGACACAAATAAGGCCTAAAATATATATAAGTATTTTAATAAAGATGTTTTTTCCTCCTGTGGAGTACTCCAGAAAATATGAAACTCCTCAGTTAAGTTGTCATTACAAGAGGATCAGTGCATGTAATTATCCCTGTTTACACCACCTTTCACTTTTTTTCCTCAGTTCAGCTTTGTGAAGTCTGTTGTTTTGTTCTCATTATCCTGCAGTGATGTGTTTTTGTTCTTTGTTGTTGGTTTTTTTTTCTCTTTCCATTTAGATGCAGAGCCTGAAAGGTGGTACAGAAGCCATAGCCCATTTGGACCAGTTAGAAGCTGATTATTATGATCTACAGCTTCAATTATATGAAGTGCAGTTTGAGATCTTGAAATGTGAAGAGCTGCTGCTGACAGCACAACTTGAAAGCATAAGAAGACTGATGTCAGGTGCTCTATGCGTTTTAATTAAGACATAATCTGTAAAAGATAAATTCTATTCCTAAGAGTCTAGTAAAGCCTGTGGGAATGAAATTAGAACAGGTTCTTTACCATGTGAAGAGCTGGATCTTCTAACAAAAGTATGGTTAGATTAAAATCTCCACCTGTTCATAAGGCATATATGTACACATACAGGAATTTTGGTCTGGTTCTCATTGCCTCTGTTTAGAAATAAGCATGTGAGATACTATATGTAAGTTTTGGAAAACTAAGTTCAGGGAGGAGGAAATGTCTTAATTACTGCACTTGTCTCATTAAAAAATCGCATTGGTATTATCCATTTCTTTGAAGTGATTGGTTTTCAAAAGGTGTTCCTGCAAATATATATGCAAATATGACTCCTTCAACTAAATTTAGAAGGTTGTTGTAGTGCCATCTCACTGATTTAGAGCAGTAATGCAAACCTTATATTTCCAGAACTGACTATACCTTGTGTACTCACAAACTGTGAAAGTGGTACAGTAAATAATACAGCGTTTTTGAATCCAGTTCTGTCCTTTAGACCTTTCTATAGTTAATATTCACACAAACTATTTTATTTAATGCATAAGACATGCACAGGAAATTTTCTTATGGATAGAAAATGCCACTGAAGAGGCATTTGAAGCTGGATTATATTGTGAGTTGGCTCTGGAAAAATAAAACGTAGGCATCACGGATCCTTTGTACTCTTACGTGAATCTCTCCCGTTTAGGCTTGAGATGGCAACAACTATAACTGCATGTGTGGAAGATGAGGGTTCAAAACTTGGCAAATGACTTAAAGAAATGTGTCAGCTTTGACCAGGTGCCTTTGTGGAGAGCTAGTTAGTGCTTTAGCGATAGATAGATTTAGTACCTGGGAAATCAGACATTTAATTTTGGTGCTGAAGACATTGTATGGTTTACTTGCCTGCGGGCTGAAGGAAATCCCTTGAGCAGGAGGCTGAGAAAGAATGTCTATCAAAATCCTTTATCTTTGATGTAGCGGTAGTAAAACCTAAGGGCCCTTAGAGATTAAGCCTGCTGTAAAAACATCATGGGTCATTACAACTTGCCACTAAAGTTTTTGCCAGAAATCTCAAAAAAACCTCCAGCCCCAGAACCTGACACAGAATAAAACAAAAACCCCAGTCAGCTAGACAACCAACCTTTTCTTTCCCCCAGGGCAACAAAATAGTTCACTGTTCTGGCTTCCTTTGCTGTTTTAAATTTATGAAGTATTCTTTAATATAAAATCCAAAAGTCTTTTTTTCCTATTAAAGACAGCTATGTTAGAAGGTATTACTGGTTTTTAACAACTCTCAGTTAATATTCCATAGGACAGGAAATCAAATGTACAGATCCTAAATGTGTGGGAATTTTGTTCGAAGGCTGAAATTACCTCTTTTGACTTGACTTATGTGGAGGGGTAGAACAATTAATGTGAAGAATGTGACACTGAAGTGACTGCATCTCTTCAAGACTGTTCAGCACATAATCTAAATGAAAGCACCTAAAACATACAGGGGTCTTTTCATATGTGTTGTTTCCTATGCAGTCAAAGAGAAAATAGTGGTCTGTGGAATCTTCTGTTCCACTTCTTTTTTAAAGTGTGCTTATAGTTAGTAAAGTAATAACCTTTAGGTTGTGCACATCTGCATGATGTGAAGTACACGTGTCTTAGTTACTTGTAGAGGCTGTTCCTATTCTTTAGTCTTTGACTGTACCAGCTTTGCATAGAAATTTCAGAGAGTTTTGGATTCTGTTTTGATTTAAGGTGCTGCTAATGAAGTCCCAGTGGAATTTTTGGAGAGTGTGATTTGACTTGACTGACAGTTGGTTGTAAGCTAGAAGAAAAACATTTTCTTATGCAGATTCAGCACATTGCATCTGAAAAGTATCAAATGATAATAGGTTGTCATATTGTAAACAACAGTAGTAGTTTTTTTATTGTCATTAACCAAATACCTGCACTGAAATCCACAAAATGTGATTTTGTTAGGTTAGAATTTTCAAGGGTCTTACCCTATCCATGCAGCCTATCTGTACAAATGATTTGTACATGCTTGTAATGTGGTTTTGTGGTGGATGCATTGCTGTCAACAGAGAATATGATAGTAGGTTCTTGCTTTGAACAAGTGCAAATAGTGTGGGTCGTATCTAAAAAGGACTAATCCTACTGATTTTATTCTAAGTCATTGAGTCATTAGAAGCTTAAGCACTTACCAAAGTTATAGGCGTTTCATAAGCTCAAAAACTGTTTGTAGAAAACTCTTGAAATGTTTGATGGAGGTTGCAAAAGAGTTGTCAAGGGTTTTTTTTGAAAGAGTAAAACATAATTTAACATTATGTTTTAGAACTGGTAGATTTAACTGGGTTACATCTGAGTATTGGGGTTTCACTTGTAAAATTCCTGTCTTTAACTCTGCATGAAAGTGTTCTAAAACAAAATTGGCATGGAAATTCTCCCATTTTACATGTGCATGGCAAAATATAGTTCTTGTTAGCCCTGAGTCTTATTTTTACTCACTGATGTGAGTAAGTGGGTTCTTAAAAGTGACTTGGCACTTTTACATATGGATGAACTTCATGTTTGGTTTTTCTTTTTTCAAATGAGCGCTGGAGTGAAGGATCTAGTAGGTCTGTTTTTATTAGTTTTCATTTTAAGTGGAATATAGTGCTGTGCTTTCTTTTCTGGTCCTGCCATGTCTTCTGCTGAGCTGAAATTAGGTTGACAACCAGAATTTTGGTTGCAGAAGAGGCTGTATGCACAAATAACATGAAGTGACAATGCTTTTAAAATGGACAGTGTACTGAAGAAACCCTGCCCCTCTGCCCAAATAATCCAGTAGCAGGAAGTTGCGGTCTTGCTGAAAGTAGCTGATGATGTTGAAATGAGAAGGTTTGGAGGTGCTGCAGAGTAGACACTTGATAGTGATGCCATCTGTACCTGCCTGTTTCAACTAGCAGTAATACATATCCCTTTTGGTATGTTACAAAAATATCCTACTTGGTATGCCAGTGAAATAAGGAACAAGAGGCCTTTGGTGCTTCTTCATCCCAGCATTCTTCAAGGATTTATTCTTTCCTTCTTGGCAAGAGATGAGAAGGCAGCGTTCAGAGATGAGCTCAATGTTATACTGAATGCTTCACGCAGGAGGCTAAAAATCATGTGTTGATAAAACTATTAGTAATGACCTCCTTTTCAGGCCTGTAATGCTTTGAAGGATTGTCTTGCAGTTACCCTCCCTCTGCTGCCTCTGAGCAGAAGCAGTGACTGTGAGGTCAAAAACCTTCTAAAACAGGGTTTTTGGTATTTTTTTGTCTTACTATCAATTTCATGAAAGGGGAATTAAGTTGTGGTGGAAGAATCTCATGCCAAAGACTTCAGAAAGAGTCTGTATATCCTGAGCTTCGTAGTAAAGGCCAGAGGATATTACTGCACATGTGGGTCCCTTGTATTAGCTAAGAGACCCAAAGACATGCATGGACATTGTGATCAAGTTAGACTACAAACACAAGCATACATTTACAGTTGCATTTGTTTTTTAATGCTCTGAGCTTACCTGAATACCAGGCTGTGCTTCGTTGGTATTGATTTCTGTTCTTCATATAAACTTTAAAGCCCTCCAGTGCTTTGCTGTTTAGTGCTTTTTGTCTGACCTTTTGATTTTTGGTTGTTCCCTGGAAGGACTACAGCATTCTACATTAAATCTTGCAACTCAGTGGGGGGATTGTTGTTGAACAAAACAAAATGTTAATCAAATACAAACTATTGATTTGACTTTTTCATTGCTGACATTTTTTAAAACAGAGAAGAGAGATGAAGTGGTATATTATGACACTTACGAAAGTATGGAAGCCATGCTTGAAAAAGAGGATATGGCAACATCTATACACTTGCAAAAAGAGGAGCTGCAAAAGTTACAACAAAAAATCCGCCAGCTGGAAGCAAGGCGTGGACGTATTTCAGCCAAGAAAGCCTACCTCAGAAATAAGAAGGTATTATTAATTTGGAAATTTCTAGCATAATTAGCAAATTTAAGAAAACTTCAAAAGGTTTAATTTTAGATACCACTTCCAAGTCTCCCAGACTTTTCATAGATTATGTTTACTACTGACTAAAAGTTGTTTTACAGAGTACCAAATACAATAGCATGTATTATTAAATTGATGTATTTAAGATTCAGTTTACCTTTTAGCTTTAAAGGAACCTTTAATCACTTTGAAGACAACAAATAAACTTGTCTTTATTAGTAATCAGAATACTTTTCATGTGGAAAGTACATGCTAGAATGCATGTTTCTTCAGAGAGTAGTTTTATATATATTTGCAGAAGATAATTTTAAAGGGTGTTTTCTCACTAATGAGTTCTATTTTCATTCTCTTTACGTCATCCTAAATTTACGTCATGTGTCATTGATACTCTGTATTCAGCAGATACATATGAAATCCAGTATATATTCTTAATTTGTAAAACTAGGTGTGCTTTTAGGGCCATTTTCCTTTTTTTATGCATTACATGGTTGGGTTGTTGTGCAGACAATTGTATTAATATAGCTAATGTCTCAAAATTGTATATCAATATATGTAAATATGTTAATTTCCTTTTTTCCAGAATAACTTGTTTATTGTTCACTAGCAGTTTGTGGTTACATGAATATGCATTATTAATGAGTGAGATAGCTTAATGAGTAGAATAGATCAAAGTTCTGAGAGAGCATTGTAGTACTCCTTATAAAATAGGTTTCCAGCTTGTACTATATACTATAAGGCTATGTAGAAGTCTCCATTGAGACCTCATTCTAGACTGGGATCGGGAGTTGATGTGATTGTATGTTCTGAGTCATGTCTCTTGATGTGAGAGATCATCCCTTTATATAAACAGTTCTGGTATATTGAGGGTAAAGCCTTCAGGTCTTGCCTCCCTTCATAATTAATACGTCTATTTCTGTACCTGAATCTGAATCATAACAGAGCAAACAAAACAGTAGTTGATAGATTTCATATTCTGGATTTTTGAATATTTCTTCAGTCATTGTCCTGTCTCTGATTAACACAATATGGAGAAGACTGCAAATAAATTATTATAAAAGAGAGGTTTCTCTTTAGCTAGTTATGGGAAGTAGTTTGCTCAGAGTCGCTTTGTTTTATGTAAGCTTGTAAAAAGAAAAAGTATCAAGAAGCTGGGCTTTTTAGTACTTTAAGGAATACATCCTATCTGTCATATTATACTAATTGTTGTAGGCTACATTATAATAGTTACACTGTTTTCTCTTGAATGTGAAAAGACACTATTGGCATCTTAGAGAGTACACAAGTGTTTAAAAGTAACAGCTGGTTGATGTTCCTTACTTAATTTACGGGAGGTAACAAGTTGAGAAGCAACCCTGAAGCAGGAGTACAGATTTTTTAGCGTGCTTTCTTCTCTGTATAATTAATTAGTCACCTTCAGTTGGCTCCTTTGTTTCAAGGTTATGCTACAATAAAATACCTTGTTTAAGCTGAAGGAATTAGTTCTAGGCTGTAACAGCAGTTGCAGCATGCCTGCTTATGCACCGACATGTGATACAGAGTTGCATATGGTAGTAGTGCTCAGCTGGGTCTAGGTGCAGCAGTAATATAGTCATGTCGGCTCAACATTGTGCTGGAAGAACATAGCTATACTGTTTTCAGGACCTGAGGTAATGTCTCCATATGGAACTTCACTATTGGACATCCCAGCACTTGCAGAACTAGTTCCAGCTCTCCACTGATTTCATTTACCAGTGTAGCATTATCTGCAGTTGAGTGCTCCAGTGAGATGCTTTCATTCTGTAGTTGAAATCAAAAGGCAAGATGTGCATTAAGTGGTGTATATCGCAGTCTTGTGATGTATTTAGAGACTACAGTCCTTGCCTATTATTAGGTTTTGGCAACTGAAGATTCCCGTAGGAGACTGCCTCCTTTGTAGCAGCAGGTATCATGATTAAGCAAACAATGGGAAATTAGTCTCTATAATTTTTTATTTTTTGGAGGTCATTTCATCATTTGGGGTTTTGAAAATATTTTCTGTTGAGGAAATAACACAGTGAAAGTGAATCAATTACTTTGTGCAGAATAAGACTATATATAATGTAAATAGAAACTTATGTGACTATAGTCTCTGCTCATTTTGTTCTTCAGAAATTGCTGCCCTGTTTTTTACAGTTGATGCTTTTATTTTTAATTGATGTCAAATAATTGTAACAGACCTTTATTTAGGAACTTTTTCTAAAGGTTTGTAGGAAACCTGATTCAGTTGTGATTCTGAGTAACTGAGCCAGCATTTTTTAAATTTATGGTTTTACAGAGGTTGATGTTCTTTCACTGTACCACCATGAGTATAAACTCCTTATTCTCATATTTTTGCATTTGCATTTGTCATTTGTCATCATTTTCTGATGTTCCTTTTTGTTGATGACAGTGACTTAGTTATTAAAAAATATTTTAATATCAGTCTCATTTTTCATATTTCTTGAAAGCTAGTTATGGATTTTTCATGCAGGATATTGCTGTTGTTATCCCAGTCTTCCCCCTGCTGGCTGCACAGTAGTATTAATTATGCTATCATATGGAACAAGCAGCTGTTTTATTAGGGAGCTAGATTTATAGCAAAGAGTCAAGGTAAAAAAAAAAAAAATGGTGTAGAAGGCGTCTAGAAGAATATCTTTGGGAAAATAGAGTTGTGAAGAAATTGAATTATGTTACATCCAGGAAGAGTAGCAACTGGTTGGGGAAGCTTTTTGGGTTATGTTCATAATGTGTGGTTTGACCTAGGAAGCTTCCTCATATGCTGTTGTGTCCATTTAATAGGACACCTTTCCTACACAAGCCCACAGTTGACAGCATAGCCCATCCCAAAACAGGTGTTACATAGATGCTGTGACAGCTGGCATAGGGTTACTTTGTATGCTGTGGTGGTGGTGATATTATTACTGCTACTTCTACTTCTGCAACAACATAAGGGTGTAACTAAAGAGAATGCTTACAGTAAAATACAGTTTCTGCACGTACTGAGTTTACTGGGTGAGACGCTAACCTTTTAATTGGGATGCTTTTCAATCTGAAAGCCGGGCTCTCTGGAACTGCTTAAATATAATACTAATGCAGATCTCTTGTGCATATATTACATGTTAATAGTCTTAAACATGGTACCTTATCTAGTGACAAGGGTTGAAATGGTTCCTCAGCTCCACCTTTTTGTCTCTATTTAATAGAAGTACCCTTTGATACTGTGAAATCAGTCAGGTGATTAAAAGAGAAATGAACATTACTTCATGATGCTCTCTCAATTCTGTACAGTTGGTCAACATCTTTCTTGAAGTGTCACTCTTGCTGGACATAACTCTTCTTCTTTTCTAGTGCTGAGAAGGAAGGACCACTTCACACGTGCAGCAGGCTGTATTCCTACTGATGTACCCAATTATGATGCTTTCTTTTTTTGCCAGGGTTTGTTGGTGTATGTTCAACTTGTGATGTGCCATAATCATCCAGATAATTTTTGTTAATGCTGTCACCTGGCCATTTTTTTTCCTTAATCCTTTGTTTGTAGACTATTAATCTTGTCTACAAGTAGAACCCTGCATTTGTCCCTGTGAAGTTGCAACCTTTCTTTTTTCTATTTTGGAAACATTTCTGTAATTAGTTAAGCTGATTCAGATTTCTAATCCTGTGCTGCAACATGTTTTCAGCCCCTCCTAGTCTTTTTTTATTATTTCAAGTCATAGAGATCTAATTACATTAAAGTTGTTTACTAGTAAAAAAAGTCAACACCAAATATGTTTTGGTCTGGTTTATCCTCTCTATGTGCTTAAAATATCTTTCCTTATTGATCTTAACCAGAAAGATTTAAACAATGATGCTGAAGAGAAAATGTTTTGTAAAAGTGTGCCTCCCAAGTATTTATGAGGTGTGTCAAAAAACCCAAACCAAACCTATTCTCATTATTTTATAATACTTTTTATGTCTCATAACATACATTCCTTGTTATTTTGGAAGACACATAAATAAACTATGAAGATAAACCGGTAGTAATATTACAAAAAATCTTTCTCTAATAATATTTTGAAGGTATTGCTATGTCTTTGAAATGCAGAAATGAGGTAGTTTGTACTTCTGCAGTTACAAATTAAATGGATTAACTTTTCCAGCTGTATTAATTAAACACTTTTCATCAAGGGAAAAAACTCCACAAACTAACTAACATAAAACGCAGCAATGTTTTATTGCTGCGTTTAATGCAGCAATAAAGCTGGGACAGTATTTCCACAGAACCTTATGGTCTTGTCAGAGTGTTGCCTGTATATGGTAGCAACATTGATGGTCTTACTGTTCAGAAACATTCAAGGTGGCATGGTATTTATGTCCTATGCGGGAACACCGGCTACCTCTTTATGTCACCACAGTACATCCATAGTCAGCTTGTAGGAGAACATAGCTTTTTCTGCATTTCCATGTGTCCAAAATTGTGGGCTTTTTTATCCCTCCTTGTTTTTGTGACTTTCTGCCACTTACTGCCTGGAAGATACTGTAGTATCTTGCTCAGTGGCTGACAACTCCATCAGCTGCCCCAAGCAGTGCTTTCAATGTCAAAGCTCCTGTCTGACTCCACCCAGTAAGTCAAAGTGACTTACTGGCCTGGGCAGCCCATCACTTCAATGTTCTTCTAGCTAAAGTCGCACTCCAAACTGCTTCCTGACACTGCCCCCTCTCACACAGCCATGAGATCTGTTTCTAACTACAGATCTGACTTTGTTCTAGTTCTGTGTGGTGCTTGTACAGGACTGAATTTCATTGCCCATGCTGTCTGATTTCCTGGCCCCCAGTATTGTCCTATGAACCTGTCTTTTTGCTACTCTAAATCCTCGCAAATACCTTTTCTTTGTAACTGAGACTTAATTCAGTTCTTTTTATATCATCTACCTGAAGTCTGAGTGTCATTCTGTTTGTTTTAGTCTGTTTAACATGGCCTGTGTATAATAAGTGAACCTGCTTGTGCATGTATAAAATTGTAACACCTTCATTGATGTTTGCGCTTGCAGATTGTACATGCAGAAGACGAGCTGACACTTCCCAATGTTAAGCTGTCTAGTTGCATTAACAGAAATATGCAGTATATTTAAGAGTTACTTATTATCCATGTATAGAAATACATGGAGTTACACAAGGGTGTTATGATATATTTTATGATATTCCTACAGTCAGTGTTTGTTGCCATTTTTGTACTGGTATGGTGGAACAGACTTTTCAAGCAGCTGTTACTTGTGTGTATTCTTTTGACAGTTAAAAGTAATAGGTTTGGTTTTGTCTGTCTTTGTTTTGTTTCCATTTTATGGTTTTATTGTAAGTTAAATTATCTTGGTTAAATTAACTTGCTGAGATCGGCTTTGTAATTATTTATAATTACAACTGTAATTATTTTTCTAATTCTTAGTACTATTTGCTAAATATTACATTATATCCTGTAAATGGATATTTGAAATTCATATTTTATATATAACATTTTATGTCTCTATAGGAGATCTGTATCGCAAAGCATAATGAAAAGATCCAGCAGCGCCACCAGGGTGAGGAGGAATACAAAATGCACCATGCTGTTCAGCTAGTAAGTTTTAGTTTTCTGTTGTTAAGTTAAGCCTTTAGATAATAGCTTGCATTCCTCATTATACATTAATTAGGAGAGTATTGAGATAATAGCTGTTTTAAAAAGATGGTGTGTATCCCAGACCTTTACACCATGGATTTTATGCTTGCAAGGGTATATAGCTGTGTTAGGATGACACTGAACTCAACCAAATAAAGCAGTTCTTTAATACTAGGTTCACAGTCTAAGTGATTACTGCTAGGGTTAGGCTGCATGCAGTTTGCTGTCACACACACAGAGATAATTCTGGACATCTCTGAGTTACAGTGTCAGATATGCTGAGATGAGTAAGGAAACCATACACATTTATTCTTCAATCTTAATAAGCTTGTTATTTTTCTTCTTTCTACAAAAGAAAACACTTGAATTGTGCTGTATAAAGACGTGCTGCCAGCTGTATGCTCCCTGATTCTGTGCACAGTCTCATTGCAGAGAAAAGGCTAGCTAGTCTAGCTCTTGTGCTGGACATAACAGACTTTATCATAAAGAATATTCAAATTCTGGTCTACGTCTTCAGAGTTAATATAGTATCAATATTTAATAAAGATCACTGACAAAGTTGCATTGAAATCCAAGTCTCTTTAATTCAGGCTTCAGTTAGATTAGTGAAAGTGATTCTCTTTCATACTTATGGATGAAAGTGGTGAAGTTCCCACTGACTGGAAAAGGGGAAACATAACCCCATTTTCAAGGAGAGTAAAAAAGAAGACCCGGGGAACTACAGACCAGTCAGTCTCACCTCTGTACCTGACAAGATCGTGGAGCAGATCCTCCTGAAGGCTCTACTAAGGCACATGGAAAATGAAGGAGAGGTGACTGGTAACCATCATGGCTTCACCAAGGGCAAATCGTGCCTGACAAACCTGGTGGCCTTCTATGATGGAGTTACGGCATCAGTGGACAAAGGAAGAGCAACTGATGCCATCTACCTGGACTTCTGCAAGGCAATTTGACACTGTCCCGTCAGTGGACGGTGTCACACATCCTGGTGGCCAAACTGGAAAAATACATATTTGATGGATGGACCACCCACTGGATAAGGAGTTGGCTGAATGGTCGCACTCAGTTGCGGTCAATGGCTCAATGTCCGAATGGAGATCAGTGATGAGTGGCGTCCCTCAGGGATCGGTACTGAGACTGGTGCTGTTTAGCATCCTTATCAGCGACATGGACAGCGGAATCGAGTGCACCCTCAGCAAGTTTGCCGATGACACCAAGCTGTGTGGTGCAGTCGACATGCTAGAGGGAAGGGATGCCATCCAGAGGGACCTGGACAGGCTTGAGAGGGGGGCCCCTCCCAACCTCATGAAGTTCAACAAAGCCAAATGCAAGGGGCTGCACATGGGTCGAGGCAATCCCAAGCACCAATACAAGATGTGAGGAGAATGGCTTGAGAGCAGCTCTGAGGAGAAGGACTTGGGGGTGTCTATAGATGAAAAACTGAACGTGAGCCTGCATTGTGCACTTGCGGAACAGAAGGCCAACCGGATCCTGGGCTGCATCAAAAGAAGTGTGGCCAGCAGGTTGAGGGAGGTGACTCTCCCCCTCTACTCTGTTCTCATTAGATGTCACCTGGAGTACTGCATGCAGGTCTGGGCCCCCCAATGCAAGAGGGATGTTGAGCTGTTGGAGCAGGTCCATGAAGATGTTCAGAGGGCTGGAGCACCTCCACTATGAGGACAGGCTGAGAGAGCTGGGGTTGTTCAGCGTGTAGAAGAGAAGGCTCTGGGGAGACTTTATAGCAGCCTTCCAGTACCCGAAGGGGGCCTACAGGAAAGATAGAGAGGGAGTTTTCACAAGGGCATGTAGCAACAGGATGAGGGGTAATGGATTTAAACTGAAAGAGGGCAGATTTAGACTAGATATTAGGAAGAAATTCTTCACTGTGAGGGTGATGAGACACAGGAACAGGTTGCCTAGGGAAGCTGTGGATGCCCCATCCCTGGAGGTGTTCAAGGCCAGGCTGGATGAGGCTTTGAGCAACATGGTCTAGTGGGAGGTGTCCCTGCGCATGGCAGGGGGGTGGGAACTTGATATTTAAGGTCCCTTCCAGCCCAAACCATTCTGTGATTCTTATACATTTTTAACATTGATACATTTGTCTAGGAAGTCAGCTGTGTAATTTACTTTATGAAAAAGCTACTTGTGAAAGACCGTACATATTGGCATAATCTTTCAGGAACTTAAAAAAACCATTTTTTTCAGTTCTCACAATAAGGCAAAGGAATATGCTGTGTGGACTGTAGACAATTTGTCCCTCTAAAAAGTAAGACTTGACAAAGCTGAAGGATTTTCTTGTCTCTCGAACACTACAAGGCGTTTAGTTATTTCATGGAGTTGGCCACTTGCATCATGTAAAGAACCTTATGCTAATATTTTTTGCCTTTTTTCTCTTAATTATGTGACTGGAAATTTCTACTATTATTATAAAATAAGTTTGCAGCCACTGGTTTTCATGAGGAATTTTGAAAAGATAACCTCAAGGGTGTCCAAACCTGAAACCAAATAAGAATTGCAATCTCAGTATTCTTATTTAAAACCAAAACAAACCAAAAAACCCAACCCAAACCAAACAAAAAAAGCCCCTTGAGTTTGAGACTGCTTCAGGAAAAGTTTTATTTGATTGTATATGTAACATGCAGGTGTGGTGGTAGAACTATCCTTTCTTCTTGCTATAATCTTTTTTCTGTGCTTCTGTTTTAACTTCATTGCCCCGTTGCTCCATTATTTTCTTTTCACCATATGCTTCTATTCCTCTTCACCTTTTGTTGTTTCTTGCCCTTGCTATTCTTCAGACATGTTCTCCTCTTCCTCTCTCTAATGCATCTACACTTATTTCCTTCCAAATCACACGAGTTGGGTCCTTGTGAAGGACACCAGGCCACTAGCTGACTTCTGAAAATGGCAGGCAGATGCTGATTTTGTGTTGACTGAATGACAATAAAACTTCACAACAGTGGTCAGAATTTTTAATAAGTGTTATGAAGACGAGCTTTTAAAATTAATACTAAATGCTGTGAGTCATTTAAGAATTAAAGCTGCTGTTTCTGCTCAGTTATTTTTCTTTATAGTCATCTGTTCTGTCACTTTTCCTGATAACTTCTGAATTTGCAAACAATGACATTTGCCATCTGATAATTAGCATCCACTTTTAATAAATTTGATGGAAGAGTAGTGTTTTGTTTCAAAGAATGAGGTAATTTTGTTGAAGTTTTGTGAAAACGGATGACTAGTTAAAGAAGGAGAATACAAATGTGTGTTTTTACTGAAGTAAGATCCCAAAAGGAGAAAAGATACAACTGTCTTAGCTGCAAGGAGGAGCTGCAAACATTAATTGAAGTAAGATTACAGAAAATCAAGGTGGATTAAATAATGACAGCTTAAGTTAATTAAACAGAAAACTTTCATTTACTGTTGTAAATTATAATGAAAATGTTTACTTAATTTTCTCAGTATGGGATTCAAAACTTTGTGGCACTGAGTTCTGTGGTTTTTTGTGCTGTGAAAATACTAACATGACTTGTTTTAAGTGGGCAACCTTACAATTTGGACTGTAATTTTCTTCTTGAAATGTGAGAAAATAGATAGTTTTTCTGTCTGACTAATTGATACCATTTTTAATTTAAGGGGGCTTTTTTCAGTATAACATTCTGTCACATCTCTAGTTATTTCTCATCTTTCAAGGTAACAAGTTTTAAAGTGTTCCAATTCCAGATAGAAATATTTCTTAACTGAGCTTTCCATTTCTTCAAGATTATAAAACATGAAATGCATAATATTTTTAAAGGGGAAGACAAAGGCCAAGTTAAGATCAGAAATGTGTTTATTTGAGAAGTAGATTGTTAGGTAATTCTTAACAATTAGTAGAAGAGTTATTTTAATTCATTTTTTCAATGATTACATGTTTTTTCAATGATTTTTACATGTTTTCCATACATTTTCTCAGAAGCGAGATCAATTACAAGATGAAGAGGAAAGAAAGAGCTCCTGGGTGAGTCAAGAACGACAGAAAACACTGGACAGACTCCGCAAATTTAAGCAGGTAACAAATTGCTAAAGAAATTTTCACTCATTCCAGGATGATACTATCCTATTAGCAGTTCTCTTTCATTATGCAGTTAACTGTTCTTTGTAAAATTTACAACAAAATATGGCATTCGTGGAAACGAATTCCTCTGGCTGTTGCATTCCCAGTGCCATAATAATCTTCTGTTCACTCTTACATCTAAACCTTTTGACAAGACACTTAACCAAATGTTCCTAAAAGAAGTATAATCTAAATGGTATTTCCCACAAAGAGCATTACTCTCTGACATAACCCCACTACCACCGATTTCTAGGACACCTGACAATACCTGCCCCTTGCTATTACAATGTAAGTATCAGAAAAAGGATAGAAGATGGAATGAAGGGGAGAGAATAAAGAAAGGGATGAAAATGGAAGAAAACAGGGACTGCTGGAATTGGCGAATACTTTTTTTTTTTTTTTGCTGAACACGTTAAAAAATATAGATATGAGAAGTTTCTTTGCTGGAATGCTGTCTTGCTCAGCAGTACACCCTTTATATCCCTGTTGTTTGCAAGGCTTTTGAATTGCATAGCTTCTGTAAGTTAAAGCAAATTTACTTATTTTAACCAGCAACTGTTAGTGCACTTTATATATGAGCATGTTTATAATGTTATGATCTCTGTTGCTTTAGACGTACCACAGTTGTGTAAAATGTATTAAAACTGTCTTTCGGAAGTGGTTTAAATTTTTGCATAAAAATGGTTATGGATGAAACTAATATGAAAGGCAGCTATTGAGGGATATTGAGGCAGCAAATTTAAGAACAAAATTAAAAACACTTCAGAAAGTCTCAAAATGTTTGGTGTTTTCAAGAGATACCTCTTTAAGCAGAATGATTCATTTCTAAGGCCAGTGTATTAGCTCAGAGAGGACTTTGTTGTCGAGGGAGCCATTGACTAGTTTTAGAAAAGACAAGCCAGGGGGAAGTTTTAATCTCAGTTTCCAGAAAAAAACAGTTTTGAGTTTACAATCTGGTTCTTAGTGAAATCCTAATTCTAACCTGTGTATATCCCTGACTAGACCAATCACTTGTAAATCGTAAATCGTGGTTTAACCAAGAATAAAAACTAAGAAAACAGATAATTTTTGCATAAAGGTGAGGATATATTTGCTTTGTTTTTACGTCTAGAGCAAAATGAATGAAAATAGCAGATAAATTCTACTTGTCAAAAAGGCAAACCCTGATGACAGGTACTTAGAATCTAAAATAGCGCATTGCATGTGCTTATCTAATTGTCAATAACTTACCCACTTTAGCGGTACCCTGGGCAAGTAATACTTAAATCAACAAGACTACGGCTGGCGCATGCCAGAAGAAAATGTGCAGCCAGCTCAGTGTCCTGTGTCGATCAACCTCAATCTTTGCCAGCAACCATACAAATCCAAGAGAAAAGTGAAGAGGTGGAATTGGAAAATGCAGTTCAGCCTTTGCAAGTTCAGGAATCCACAAGCTTAGAACAACTTAATGATATCTCGTTACCTCCCAATTGTGTTGCCTCCGAACTGCCTCATATTAGTACCTCTCCACTCACCAGTAACGAGCTTCAACCAGAGACTCTTGCTGTAGTACCACTTCCACCCCCTTTGCCTCCACCACCTCCCCCTCCGGCTCCACCTTTGCCCTCCAAGGAAGATGCCGCTAAATCCTTAGAGAAAAGCAACAGCTTGGTTAAACGTCAGAGTGAGGAGAAGGGAGTTCAGCATTCTTCTGGTGTCCCACCAGCACATCTGTTTGACAGCAGTCAGCTAGTCAGTGCCAAGAAGAAGCTTAAGAAGACCGGTGATCTGGAGGGTTTACCGAAAAGGAGAGGTAAAGATTTCATTTCGGTGTATTTAATTGTAATGCACATCAGTTCCTCTTTTGAATTCCTCTACAGAATAGTGTATGCTATGATTAATTTTTAATTATTAATGGGAAAGATGTTACATCCTTTTTGGTTGACAAATGTTGGCAACTCAAACATATGTTAGGACCTTTACAACAGCATGCAGTATACTTGTTCAGTTAGACAGAAAACATTTGTGTGACTGACTCTACGATATACCACATTAGACTAGTTAGAAAATGGAGCTGAATGTTGTCTAAAATAATCTTTTCTTATCTGGTTTACAGCAAGCTCTGCAAATATTATATGCTTCACCTGAGGGTCCAGTCTGTTTTAATAACAGAATTTTACATGATTCATGACCTAGTAAAATGAATACCTGTCTTGGGACATAGAAAACCTTGAGAATGCTTTCCTCAAGATTTCTTCAATTTTTCATACAAAAATCCACAAACCCATAAGTACCCTAGAGAGCTGAGTAAGAATATATATGTTTAACTACAATTGGAAATTAAATCTGTACTCCTTCATCAAAGCATGTTAATCAATAGTTAAAAGATCAAATGCTTCTTTAGAAACTGAAGAGAGTGAATAGAGCACTGGGCTGAGCTGGGAGATAAATTAAAACTTGTTGATTCTGTGCTACTTGTTTTTAAGTGTTCTTATCCCATATATAAAATGGGGAGAATGGCAGCCATGTTTTAACAAAATAATCCTGGTGTTTTGGTGAAACATGCTTTATTGGAGTGAAGTTTTTATTTGAAAATCAGAGATGGGATTTTCAAAAGCACTCAGCTAAACTGTTTTACTGGGAATCACTGAAAAAAAGTACCTTCAGTGGGCCTTGATTCACACTGCTGTAATATGGCTGTAATAACATTTGATTAAAAATTTGTCTCTGTCAATTACAACTACAGAAAATCCTTCCACTGACACTTTCCCTTATCCAGATAAAATCAGAATTAGAACTGTCTTCATCAATCAGACAGAAACAAGAGTGTTTTCTCTAGAACTGTCCTTCAATGACTGAAAATCCTTGAAGCAACAGCATAGTTTTAGAATTCTTAAGCTCTTATGAATTTTGCAGGTTGCAGGTACAGTGTCGTAAGTTCATTATCAATTTTGATGCTGCTGTGCTCCATTTTACCTTTTCCTGTAGTCCTAGTATCTATTTTTCTAAGATAATAATTTTATCTTGCAATTTTATATAAAGCACATATTGTGTGTGCAGTTTGATGTACATCATAAAATGACAAATATAAAATCAAATTACGTCCTCCCTCTTAAGAGTGTTGTTAATGTCTGCAGCAGCACTCTACCCGTTGCTCTGTATTCCCTGAGCTATACCAGGTCTCTAAGTGGCTTTAGAAATTTGTCTCTGTATGACAGACGAGTCTTTTACTTCTCCTTCCTTTACTCTTTCCTTCTTCCTTCCGATGTGCAGTCCTGTATTCTTCTTTTACTTCTCTTTTCTGCATGTCTGTTCCATCTGTCTGTACTGTTAGTCTGAACAAAGCCCATTCATACATGCAAAACAGATTTTAAAAATGTATTTTACAATATACAAAGACCTGGAGATGGATATTAATCTATTGATTGATATGTGCTGTACGTTATATGTGCTAGTGCTTTATTATAATACATTATTTGGGATAGAGATCTTACCTACTTGCAGCTCTACAAAGAGCCAAAGCCTGATTTTTATTTCTGCAGACAACTAGCTTCAAATTGGTGATAAAGTGAGGATTAGTGATACAGTATTGACTCTTGCTTCTCTGTTTTCACTAATTAGAAAGGAAGGGAATTTATAGGCACACTGTGACTATGTGCTAATACATACATGAATCCAAAAAAGCTGGAAAATGCATGATGTTGCAGTTGACTTTACTGCTGCTTCCCCTCACTGGCATGTAGTGATAGTCATACAGTAGGTAAAATTAGCCACCAAGTCCAAGTGCTGAGAGTAAACTGCACACTCTAATGCTTGAAATATGCAGTCATTACCTGAGTTTCAAAGTAAAGAAAGATAACGTAATAAACACTTTCATTGTGTTGGATTCATTGTAGCTATTCTGATTTTCCTTAGTGTAAACAGGAAAGCCATCTTTTTCAAAAAGTTTTACTACCTGAGGCTGAGTGGTTTCAGAAATTATAATTGTCTGTATAAACCAGTTTTGACGTGGTAACAGGGAAGATAAATTTGGAGGCTAAAACAATATTGGAGCTACTATTATACCTGTGGTGTGGGACAGTCACATTAATAGTATGCAGCTCTTTTTTGGTCTGTAGTAAATACAAATGAAGACTGACAACATTTAGTAAAAATAATACTGAAGGTCTTTTGATTTACTGCAGTGAGTTCCCCGATGGATGAAGTGCTGGCTTCCTTGAAACGTGGCAGCTTTCACTTGAGAAAAGTTGAGCAGAGAAGTCTTCCTCCTTTTCCTGATGAAGATGATAGCAATAACATCTTGGCACAGATCAGGAAAGGGGTGAAACTGAAGAAAGTGCAGAAGGATGTTTCGAGAGAATCCTTTACAATTCTGCCTGATACTGACCCTCTGACAAAGAGCATCCATGAAGCATTGCGACGAATTAAGGAAGCGTCACCTGAATCAGAGGATGAAGAGGAGAGTTTACCTTGCACAGACTGGGAAAATTAACCTGTAATTAGCCTACCTTTAAAACCAATATTTCTTCAACACTTTTTTTATAACAATAGCGGCTAAGCCTCAGGTTGTGCATTCTAGGAGACTTAGTATGAATGTGACTAAACTGATGTCCAGCGTGGTAAAACATGCACATATGAATTTAGTTTCACTGACTTTTCAAAGAATTTAAGGTTTATAGTAAGGAAAACTTTTTTTAGGCAACATCTTAGCCTTTTATTGTTTGAATTCTTTTGCTGAATATTGACAGGACTGCTCCTATAAAAAGCTCTATTTTATTTAGTAAATTTGAAGGGACTGTTTGCGGCTTACCAAAAAGCTTTTAAGAAACAAAGCAGCATAATCACTCCTAGACACACCTTGTACTTATTTTGTAATTAGTTCTGGCCTTGTAAAAATTTAGGATGTTTACCACTTCAGATTGAATATCTCCAAGTGAAGGATGTTTAGATTTGACTGCTGAACACATTGAAATCTCATTGGTTACCCTGTGTGACTGACTCTTTGATAGCTTGGTTTCAGTCTGTAAACTCTCAGACTTAATTGAATTTACAGACTATAAACAGTAAATATACAAATATTATTTATACTTCCGCTACTCATATGAATCCTGTGAACTAAGCTACAGTGCCTGAAAGTACAGATATTAGACTTCAGCAGATGAAATTAATGATTTCAGAACAAACCAGAAATTGGCAAGAGATAGTTTTCAAAATTATGGCGGCATCCATAGCACAAAGAGATTCTTGATTACAAAAACAGTGTACAGCACTATTCTTCTGTGGTGGTTCTTTTCTGCTACTGGCATGTGGATTAACTCAAGTCTCAGTGAAAGTTCCCACTAAACTTAAAATTTGGAGAAATGAGAGGTATGACAATCTGTAAAGAATTTTAAAATCTGTTTAGAAATCAAAGGGCTGTTTCAAAAGTATGGAAGATAAATATTTATCATCCTTGTAACACAGCTAGCAATAGGAAAAAGATAACCTTTTTTTGATGTTTACAGTCAGGCATTTCTACCCTGGTTAGTTATTACCATAGCTGGAGAGTGACCACTGATAAAGTGCTACAGCTGTTCGAAAAGTGATAGTGACTTAGCACATCATCTGCTGAATGTTGTGATTATGAAATACTATTTCTCAAACTGTTCCATTGGTTTGCTATTTTCAAATAATAATATTTAAAATTTTTAAAAAGGAAAATAAATGTTTCCTTTATTTCCTCATGAACTAGCCATTAGCCACACTAATGATTTAATGCTGTTTAATTATGGCACGCTCCTTCCATTCCATACCAAATGTACTGGTAGTAGTGGAGTTGCAAAGCCAGGAGTGGAGGTGTACTTAACTCTTGCTGAAACTCAAAGTGAAAATTATTTTGCTTGGATGTAACTTTTTTCAGTTGCATACTGAAAACTCCAATTACCACAGCCCTTCAGAAGTCAAGTGACAGCTATAAGAAAATACATGCCTTGGAATTAACTTGGCTTTCTCAGTGCAATTATTATCTTTTCATTTAGTGGATAACTGAGCAAATTTAAACTTTGTGTTTTGACTTTATGATTTTAGTAAATCTCACTTATTCTTTGGGATCTTGTTTGCATTTTTTAGCAAGTATACTCTTTAATACTATGGGTCATTTAAAAAAAAAAATTTAAAAAAAGGAAGGATACTCCAAGTTACTTTGAATTTTTTTAATCTTGTTGGTGGACCTCCTAAACATTTTCCATTGGAAGTGCATCATCTTGAAGCCTTATGTGTCCATTGCCGTACAATATAAATACATGTTTTCCTCTGCTATCTTTTGCAGCCGCATAGAAGCAGTTCAGAGTGCAGGCTGAAAATCACTGCCAATCCATACCTGTAGTGCACAGGTTGTTGTTTCCTTTTTACCGGTCCACAGTTATGACATCTTCCTCTTTTAAGGAGACACTCCTGTCGAATTCTGAGGTTAGGTGGAATCACTTGGACCTAAAGCAGGATGCAGTGTCAGGGTTCTGAATGTGTTCTCCTTGGAGTTCTTCACACATCTGGGACCTGCTTTCTCTTACCAATGTCATATTTTATTATGAGAACAATCCAGTTTTCATGAGATGAGACTATTTAATAGGTAGTACAGCTTTGATTGAAAAATGGTTGTACAAAATAGCTAACAGCTCAGAAAGGAAAAAATGGGCCCCTGCTATGGAAGCACGTGAAATAATTTGGGAGAATAGAGATTGAGACAAAGCCCTTGTGAAATTCAGTTGAGTAAATACATTTCACATAGATGAGTGTGCTTGCTTGAACATGCAGGCTGGTTACCCAGAATTTATTACACAAGAGTAAAATCTAATGCAAGTCTGTTGCAGAAATTGCCGAATGGTATTTTAATTTAATATTTAATATTAGTAGGTCAATCTTAAAGCATGGTATTCAATACCATGCTTTAAGATTGACCTACTGATTTTTAAATGTAAGCTCCACATACAAAAAACAGTTGCATAGAGATTTTAGGTTGAAAACAGGCAAAGGTATATTAGCACATGTGTTATGAACTATGCTTAATACATATGCATCCTTACAGGCTACATATAATGGAATTATTTGCCCTAGGAATGAAGGCTAAATCTAATATAATGATGTATGTCTATCAGGTGACAAAAAGTGTCTTGATGTATGTGCAAAGAGTATTAACAACACCCATTGAAGTGGTTTCATTAGTTATTGAAGTCTGAAGACAAACTAATGGTAACTAATTCCCTGCAGGTGATCTAGTCATCTCTTATATTACCTGCTTTTTGAGTTAACTTCTACATGAAGTTATGATTGTCTTTTTTTTAAGAGCAGTTCCTTCCTTACAGACACTAAACCATGTACAAAAATGCTGAGGCATTCTATGTATTAGAAGTACAGCTGAACAAGCAGTATAAAGATGCAGTAGCTGCTGTATGAAAAATGAGAAGATTACTGGTTAGCAAAAGTGTCCCAAGCCTATCTGTGTGTGTGTGTACATAAGGGTACACATAAATCACTACAGTACATTAAGAGCACTGTCAGTAAGGCAAAACCTGGCTTCCTGGGAGTGACAGACAAAGTAACAGATAAAAAGCAAGCTTTTGCTCTCCGTAGTCTTCTAATCTAGCATTCTGGGCCTCCTCAAACTCTAATCTGTGTTTGCTGGCCATATTACTAGAAGGCAAAGAAATACCAGGTCATATTCTGTGTGGTTTTCTCAGAGCAAAGAGAATCAAGGCTTTTGAAGGCACTGCTCACTATTGCATGTTGGAATTGCCTAATATGTTGATCAGAGAATATTTGTACAGCTGTTTAGCTTTTCAGATGTTCCTTTTTCTTTTTTTCCCAACAGGTGATTCACAGCCACTGATGTGAGAAAAGAAACCCCAGCTGAAGATTACTTTTCCTCTTCATTTGTGAAAATTCAGAGCCAGCAGTTACGACCATCAATTCCATAGGAGGCTTTCTTTGGCAAATAAATACTCTTTCTTTGGCAAATGATTCAGTATATAGAAAAAATGGCCTGAAATGTTAATTTTCAGGTGACTTTTTTTTTGAATTTGTTAAAATTCTGGTTTGGTCAGAAAGCTAAGTTGTTTAGGTGTGCATTTTATATAATCAAGAATGCCTGATTCTTAAGCACTTTTTATATTTGTGTTAGTAATGTGTGGCCAGTTAAGTGAGGGGGGCATTTTGAGCTGGGAGAATACTTGCTATTAAAGCAACTTTGGGGATTTGTCGAAGACATCAAACCAGCTATAAAATGTCCCTTTCACTGCACTGAATATATCATCTGCTTGAAAATCCCATTAATAGCTCCCTGCAGAGAAGCTTGCTGTGTAGCAGTGTGATATTCCAGAAAGAGCAGAATTCCTAGTTGCACTACAGTAGCTGAAATTCAGTAATGTGCAACTAAGACTTTTTTCTTCTTAGTTTGAAGAAGTGTATGTCAGTATGACCACAGCACAATGAGAAATAAGAGTTCAATTCAGTACATATTCAGGAATGTGTTTGTTTCCAACATGGTACATTTAGCAAGACATACTGCAGCACCTTTTTAGAAGGTCATTTGTAGTCTGACGCCTTTTTAAAGTAGACTTTTTCATGCTTTTTTAAAATAATATTTAGCTATGCTGAACCAGGTTACTTATACTTTTATCATTTGTTATAAGAAGCAATATTTTGTAATTTCATACTTAAAATTATTTTTCTCTTTTGGTTTAAAATGGCTCTCGATAACTCTTAAGCAGCCTTCTTTAAAAAAGATCAAAGCACTTAAACATACTGATCATTCAGTTGTGAAAATCATGCTTCTCTTGCTGGTTTTCATTATTCCCTTTAGTGGCTGCAAAAATGTTTGTATTCCATACCCAAAAGCCTACTGTCTGAAAATAAAAGTTCCATTTTGATCCTATTTTTTTTAAGCAGAGTTACTATTTCCTCTGTGGTGAATACTTAGAAGTAATCCTACACTTCACGACTAATGGCTGCAGGCAGCTATTTTTACAGTACCACAGTGCTAACAGGTATGTCAGTGCAGAGATATAAGTAACTTTGTAACATCTAGAAACTCCATGTGATATTAAATTCAGCCCAATACAATTCTAAGAAAACTGACTTTTCACTAACATTTTCTTTTCACTAGTCCCTCTCCTTTGTGTAGTGTGGTCCATTCAGTGTTCCTCTCGTGACAGACAAACTGCTACGTGGATTGGGGTTTTTTTGTAAGAGGAGTTTTGCATTGCTGCAGTCATGTAATGGAACACATACTGTGTTAACGTTTATAACAGGAGATTTCATGTCTTGCCATATACTTATATAAAGAGGAACAGGAGAACTTACCTTAGCAATAGGCTATGTAACCTAAAGGAACCTCAGCTCTAGGACCCTTTGGTTGTTTTGCTGTGGCTGTCCTGAAATTAAAGCTCTGTCAAACATCTCAAAAGGATGTCACTTTACCCTAGCTATCAACAGGCATTTTCTTAACCATGTTGCCTT